TTTGCTTATATGCTTGAATGAAAATAGATTTTGCCAAATAGAAATTGATATTTTATATCAATATCAACATATAAGTATAAGGAATTAATTTCATTATTAAATTAATAAGATAATTTGGGCATGCTGTCTATAAAATATTTTAGTAATTTTTACATTATTTAGTTAAAACATAAAATTAAACTTTAATATAATAAACTATTTTTTTGTTTTTTTCAGTTTAGATTGATTGGGTATTAGGCAATAAATATTACACTTTGTTGGGTTTTGAATATATTGTAATACTTCATCATATAAATACTATTGTTATTCTAAACTAATTTTATTTGAAGTTATTGTATCTGAAAAAATCAGTTTGCTATTTCTGGCTTTTGAAATTGAAAAAATCTGTGCAATCAAAATTTTAATTTCATCATTATTAAATGACTTTTGAACTTTCACTCTTTTAGAATATTTATAAAATATAATAAAATAGTGCTATATAAGAATAGACAGAATATTAATAAAAAACTAATTTTGACAATCACTCGTACCAAAATTTCAACTAACAGAAAACAAAACTTTTGTTGAATAGACGTGGCTCTATGGTGCGATTTGTCTAGAGGTCAACCTTTTCCTATTGGGAGACTCTTCTAAAAGACGTTCGGCATGCAAGCCAGAAGCATTATTATACAAGATAACTGGCAGGGAGTTGCTACCCAGGTGCCCTTGTATAAAAAATCTTGGTGAAGGGAGTAAGTTATATAGTAGGCTACTACTTCGTCGACGAAGCCCTAGACCGTTACTTCGAAGAAGAACACAGGAGAAACAACAAAAGTTTTGGATTTTAATATACACTTTAGAAGTTTTGAAAGTACCTGCAACCAAAGACCTTTTACCATATTTTCACTATTTTGGAATTTTTTTTTGAAATTTTGGCCAAAAAGTGGGAAAACCAGCATACCCCTTCAAAAGATCGGCAGTGTTTACTCTTTCCAAATTAGGACACGTCTACCGAAATGGAACCTTCCATGAGCTTACTTTGCCAAATAAACAATGACAGCAGTACTGTTTATAGTATAGGAAATCAGAGGAATCACATGTAAAAATTTCTTAATGTTAGATATTTTCTTTTATTTTCTTTTCCACTTCTTTTATTATATATAGTGTTAGATTAGATTTTATTTTATACAACATTATATAATTTATGTAGCCTTGCACAGGCAAAAATAGTACCGTTATAGCCATCCTTTTTTTCAGCCTTTTTCTCCTTTTCTCTCTTTTTCTTTTTGTTTGTTTTTTGTTTTTGTTTAGTTTAGATTTTTCCCCTTTTTACTATTCTTTTTATTTCGTAAATTTCCCATTGTTCTTTGGTAAAATTCTTCTATCTAGGAAGCTAAGAGAAGAAGGTTGGAAAAGAAGGCGATCATAACGGGCTGATGAACCAGGTCGGTGAACCGGGGCGGGTCGGCTTGATATAGGTTGAACCAAACTGGGGAGATTAAAATCATCTTTGGCAAGTCACATACAGGTGTATGAATATTTAAGTATTCTATATAAGTAACCGAGTGAGTTACATACCCGTATCTTTAGATATATTCTTTTTTCTTCAGATTTAATTAATAATCAATAAAGCATAGGCATGTAGCATGATCCCTTAAAAATAAAAAATAAAAATAAAAAATAAAAAACTAATTTAAAAATTGACTTCAATTATAAACCATAATTTTTCTATTTCTATCAGAATCAACCACTGTATCTACCTTGTTAAATCCTTCAGTTGTAGATTTTTTAACAATATCTATTAAGTTCTCTAAATTATTTGCCACTGAATTTCTAAGTTTTAACTTTAATAGTCTAAAAAACTATTTAATCCAAACTTTATATAGCTAGGAACTATAAAGCTATAAATAATTTTAATATATAAACTGTTTATTACTTGCCAAGACAAATATTTAATTATTACATTATTTTTATTTTACCCTATATAGTTGTTTGTATAAATAATAATACTTTCTCACCTAGGCTATGAGTAGTAAAATAGTGATGAACAAGAGATATTATAGTATTTGGGCCTTTTCTGATTAGTGCTCTCCATTGAGTCAGCTTAATAAGCCTTATTCTACAGTCCCTGACAAAAGTAATTCTGCACTCTTAATTTCAGAAAGAACATGCATAGAGGCATGAAATTTCACACAGGGATAGTACATTGTATATGCAGATTGTACTAATCTTTTGAGGCAAGGTAGATAGTAAAAATACTTACGCAGCCTATATACCCAATTTTTAGCTGAAAAAATGCCTCTTCTTTTACATCAATGATATGAAATCATGTTTTTAGCTGTCCACCTGAAGGGCCTCAAGCTTTCAATACGTGATACGGTGAAGCAGATTCGCTGTAATGAAAAAGCAGTGAGATTTTAGATAAAAAGGTGGCAGGAAGACAAAGACCTAAGTGACAAACAAAAGTCAGGTCGTAAAAGAACCACTACTGAAAAGCAAGACAAACGGATTTTGGGGCTGGCAAAGGAAGACGAAGATATTACAGCTCCAGAAATCCGCCGGGAGATGCTAAAGAAGAACGTAGACATTACTGTGCGCACTATTTAATAGCATCTTGGTGAAGGTGGGGCCCGTTACTATGGAAAACTCTCAAAACCTTTGATTGGAGAGAAGCACCGAAAAAAACGCCTCTCGTGGGCGAAGAAGCATAAGGATTATGACTGGGATTCCGTGATATTTACGGACGAAAGTACCTTTTGTTTGAATTAACGGCTAAAAAAAGCTTGGAAAAAGAAAATAACCTGTTCCGTCAAGCATCTGTTGAAGATTCACATATGGGGCTATTTTTCTTCTTCGGGCTTTGGTAGGTTGGTTTTGTTCACCCGTAATCTTAATGTGCAATATATAGTTACCCTATATAAAACTGGCCTTCTGCCTTCCGCTGAAGACCTTTTTGATGAACGTTGCAATAATTGGATTTTGCAAGAGGATAATGATCCGAAGCACCGTTCGAAAATCGCAAAGGCATGGAAGGAAGAAAATGACGTCAAAGTTCTCCTCTGGTCGTTGATGTCACCTGACCAAAACCCAATTGAAAATGTCTGGGGGGTCATAAAAATGAATATAGCAAAAAAAAAAATTAGAACACTTAAAAGTCTAAAGGGCGAAATAACAAAAGAATGGAACTTCTTACCTAAGGAGTATGCAACTAAATTAGTTAGGAGTATGAAAAGTTGTATTAATGCCCTAATAGAAGCTCAGGGCGATTATACAATGCGTTAATAATCATATACAATTATGTAAAAAAAAAAATTTTTTACTTACAATATATCCTTGCTGAGTTAAAGATGCAGAATTACTTTTGTCGAGGACTGTACATTTTACATTAGCTCATCTAAAGCTTACTTGGCTTGTGAGCTATATAACTGTGATATATTCGAGAATATCACATCATGGAATAAGAAAATTGTGATAAAATCGAGATAAATATGACTTCCTCGAGTATGTCATGTAACTTCTTTAAAGAAGTTACATTTATTTCGATTTTATAACAATTTTTTTATTCCACGGTGTAATATTCTCAAATATATCACAGTTACACAGCTCACAAGCCAAGTAAGCCTTATATAAGCTAATATGAGGTGTAGGATAAGGCTTACTGAGCTGGCTAAATGGAGAGCACTATTTCTGATACTTTGTTCTTCAGAAATAAAATAATTAATCTAAAAAAAAAGATAAGCAAAATTTAAAATGCATTATGATAATTTGCATTAAAATATTAAAAAAAAAAAATTTATATACTGTAGCTACAAATTTTTGATTTTAATATATTGTACAAGCATAGATAATAATATTGATATATTTTATATAATCACTAATTAATTTTTATATAACTTATTCAATCACTTTCTAATACAATATACAAAATTTACTTACTTATAAGAGGTGAGTGAATTTTGTATATTTGTATTAAGAAGTACCCAAATAAGTTATATGAAAATCACTTAGTACTTATGTCAAACATGTTAGATAACAAAGTTATTAGTCGAGTCTTTAGTAGATAAATAATCAGTTATCATCTATAATACAACTAATAACTATTACTTATTACTCAAACAAACTTTTAGCCAATACTATTTTAACTATTTTAATAACTTTATTCTTTTAATATGATAAAATAACTTCAATAAATATGTTGTTATTGGAAGTGGTATTTATTTTCTTTGATTCTAACTAATAGTTGATTTAATATTCTAATTCTGACAATTTTTAATAGCTATATTTAAACACATCACTCTAAGCAAGTAGTCATTAAATGCTATATACTAAAATATATATACTGTGAATTTTAAAATAGAGGTATCTTGTACTACTGTATATAAATCTAGTCACTAATTGTATAATTTTGAATATTAAATTTTATATAATTAAATTACCTGTTGAGATACTGTCTTTTCACATATTCTAAACACTTTGACTTTATAAAGGAATTTGAAATATATAGCTCTTTCCTGTTGCAAAGAATAAGAAATATATATATTTTTAGCAAAACCTTAAGAGAAATAATTTTTGATATTAACTAAGTTTGAAATTCCAGACTGTAATAAATTAATTAAAGAATTCAAAGCTACTTTGGATTTGACAATACAATCTCTAATTTAAAAATAAAATTAATAATATTTACAAGCTCTTTTAATATAATTAACTAGAGTGCTGGTCAAAATCCTGATATAACAGATTATAATCTCAACAAAAAAATCCCAATAATAAAAATCCTGACAAATTCTAACAACAAAAAATTATTAAGTTTATTTAAGTTAGGGTAGAGTTAAAGTGGAATTAAATAAGAATATAGGTTAGAATTAGGGTATGCACATAGGTTAGTGTTAGGGTTTAAGTGATTTCATATAGTAAAATTGCTTAATGAACACTTTTTTTAATTGTCAAAATTTATCAGGATTTTTGATTGTCAGGATTTTTTTGTTGGGACTATGACCTGTTGGAAATTTAACCCAAATCTATTAACTAGATAAACTTTTAATTATTTTATGATTTTGTAATAACATCTTTCTATTTGGCTGATTATTGGTAAAACTAATTAATTTTATTAAAAAACTAGTAAAACTAATACACTAATAGTGTACTATTGAAGATTAGTTTCACCTGCAACTCTAGCTATAGCTAATGATCAGAAAACAAATTTTTAGCTAAAATTGCTAAATATTTTATTTATAATTTTCATAGTTTAAAAATACCCAATTATAGTGATTTGTCTATTTTTTCAATTTTTGTAATGTTTTATTCATATTCTAATACTTAGCTCCAAATCGCTTTTTTTTGCAAAGTATATATAAGTCACTATATGCTGTCATAAGCTGAATACTAGAAAGATATCTTCTCCAAATATGCTAAAAACTTGTTAAACTAACTTTATTTACTCTACTATATTCTATATTATTATAGATTTGGTATAAAGATTGCTTACTTTTATATGCAAGTAAATATATTATTTCACAAATATCATTTCAAAAGCTATGCCCTAAATAATAATAGAGGTTGTGTCTAATTTTCTTGATAGTCATTTCTCTAATAGGCCATTTAACTAATATTACACAAGGTAATAATTTACTAATAATATACTGTATCTACAACAAATAAAAATACTAACTCTAACTCTATGTAATGCTAGTAAATAGCCTGCTAGTAAAATGATTATCAGGAAAATAAGCAACAATAATAGATAGCTTAGCGATAAAAATAATAATAACAATACTGTAATTATTTTTTTATTAGTTAAGGAGACCTCTTTGGCCTGAAAGCTTTTATAAGGATTTGAAACGGTGTTTTATATGCAATTACAACGATGGTACATCAAGCCACACGTGCACCTTTTGAGTGCCTAATTTAAGTAGTCTGCTCGAAGGTTCTACACTATCTGCCGTACCTGCACCCCAACTAGGGGAGTGCCCATTTAAACCATCTGGTTATAACAACAATACTGTAATTATCAGACATATACTAAATAATTTCTATATAACTTATTTGGTCACATAATATAATATACAAAATTTTACTCATCTCTTAAGAGAATTTGTATATTATATTAGGAGGTGGCCGAATAAATTATATAGAAATTATTTAGTGCTTATATCAGACATGTCAGATAACCAAGTTTTAGTTGAGTTTTTAGTAGATAAACAAGTAATAGTTATTAGTTATGTTATAGATAATAACTAATTATTCATCTACTAAAGACATGATTAATAACTTTGTTATCTAACATGTTTGATGTAAGCATTAAGTAATTTTCACATAACTTATTTAGTCACTTCCTAATACAAATATACAAACATTTACTCACTTTATAAAAGATGAGTGAATTTTGTATATTGTATTAGGAAGTGGCTAAATAAGTTATATAAAAATTATTTAGTGATCACATAGGATATGTTGAATAATCAGTTATTATTTATGACCCAACTAATAACTAATACTTATTAATTACTTATCAGATAACGGAAGCCCATATTAATTGGCAAAATTTAAAGTAGTTGAGAAAGAAATTGCATAATTACTAATATGTTCAGTTAATCTATGAATTTTTGGTATAAGACCAAATTCCTGATAATAAGTATGTAAAGCCTCTCATCATCTTTTTTGAATGTTATAAATTACATACCAGGCTTTTTGCAAATTGTAATATCTTTAAATTTATAACTTGTTGATAGAAATGTTTTTGATATTTCATTTTTAAATTCTGTAGCATATATACTAGCATCAATTATTTTAAGAAAGTATAAATTTGATTTATTTTAAGTTAATGATTTTATTTCTTAAAATCTCTTGAGTGCTGCTTGATAATTAATATATAAAAGACATCTTTTAGTACAATAGCAAAATTGTTATAGCTTTGTCAAAAATGCATTACCATCACTTTTATTTAATTATTTTTTATAATTTTTTTTTATCTTCAATTACTGCATATATTAGGTAAAGTTTATATATTTTATAAAACTATTCGACTTGGTTAATATTAAAAAAATGATCAATGTATACAATTAAAGATAATGGAGAAGTTTCATTATAAGTTTTATCAGAGCTTAATTTGTTAAATTTATTATTAGAATTATCATTTGAGTTATTATTTGTCAAATAAGTATCTTGAAGCAGTATAGACAATTCACTATTTAAGCTTTTTAACTCAGTATGGGTTTTAGCAAAGATATTATTGAATAAATTATTTTTATTGGTATCAGCTATCAAAAAAAAAAAAAAAAAAAAGCAATCTATTGTAATTATGAGTCAAAATAGTTTTTTTTTTTTTTTTTTTTTTTCAGTATTAAGGTGACTTCTTTGGCCGAGGAACGTTTTATTAGATAGTTATGTTTTTCAATTACAGTAAGGGTACATATAGCCACACGTGCACCTTTTGAGTGTC